AAAGAGCCACCTGTCAAAGCTGAAGACAGAATGTGGCAGCATCGTTTCCGGGACACCTGAGATTTTGAGTGAGATTGAGAGGTTCTATGGGCAGCTGTACGCGTCATCGTTGGAGCTACACGCAAGTGTGAGTAACGATCCAAGAGCGAGTCTCATCCGACACTATTCCGAAGATATCCCGGACGTCAGTCTGAGCGAGATTAGAATGGCTCTCCAGCACCTTAAAAACGGTAAGGCCCCAGGCGAGGATGGAATTACAGCGGAGCTTCTGAAAGTGGGTGGAAGACCGGTACTTGAAGTCCTTCAGAAGCTCTTTAATTCCGTCCTCCATGGTGGCATTACACCGGAGGCGTGGAGCAGAAGTGCAGTGGTCTTGTTCTTCAAGAAAGGTGACAACGCTCTCTTGAAGAACTACAGACCGATTTCCCTTCTGAGCCGCATCTACGTGCTGTTTTCGAGAGTCATTACGAATCGTCTCGCGCGCAGACTTGACGACTTCCAGCCTCCCGAACAAGCCGGTTTCCGAAAGGGCTTTAGCACCATAGACCACATACATACCCTTCGGCAAATTGTACAGAAGTCCGAAGAGTACAATTTGCCACTATGTCTGGCGTATGTGGACTATGAGAAAGCCTTTGATTCCGTCGAAATTTGGGCGGTGCTGCAGTCACTTCAGCGGTGCCAAGTTGACTGTCGGTATATCGAAGTGTTGAAGTGCTTGTACAGTAGGGCTACGATGGCTATCCGAGTACAGAACCAGAGTACGAAACCTATCCAATTGCAGAGAGGTGTAAGACAGGGTGACGTCATATCCCCGAAACTCTTCACCGCTGCATTGGAAGACGTTTTCAAGCTTCTGGACTGGAAAGGATACGGTATCAACATCAATGGCGAGTACATCACTCACCTTCGATTTGCCGACGATATAGTCCTTATGGCAGAATCGCTGGAGGACCTAAGCACTATGCTCAATGACCTCAATAGTGTTTCCCAACGGATAGGTCTTAAGATGAACATGGACAAAACAAAGATCATGTATAATGTCCATGTCACACCTATGCCGGTAGTTGTTGGGAGCACTAAGCTCGAAGTTGTTGACGAGTATGTTTACCTGGGACAAATAGTCCGACTAGGTAAGTCCAACTTCGACCGAGAGGTCAATCGACGGATTCAACTCGACTGGGCAGCGTTCGGGAAGCTATGACACATATTCTCGTCAGACATACCTCAAAACCTGAAAACGAAATTGTACAACCAGTGCGTGTTGCCAGTGATGACTTACGGAACTGAGACGTGGTCCTTCACTGCTGGCCGTATGAGGAAGCTCAAGGTCGCTCAGCGAGCTATGGAGAGGGCTATGCTCGGAGTTTCTCTGCGTGATAAACTTAGGAATGAGGATATCCGCAGTAGAACCAGAGTAACCGACATTGCCCAACGGATTAGTAAGCTGAAGTGGCAGTGGGCCGGCCATATAGCTCGAAGAACCGATAACCGATGGGGAAGAAAGGTTCTCGAGTGGCAGCCTCGTACCGGTAGGCGAAGTGTAGGGCGTCCCCCCACGAGATGGAGTGACGACCTGGTAAGACATGCAGGTAGTCGATGGATGCAGGTGGCTCAGGACCGTGCTTTGTGGCATTCTTTGGGGGAGGCCTATGTTCAGCAGTGGACTTGTGAAGGGCTGTAATGATGACGATGATGAAAAGTAGAAAAATTAAACAAAAGTTCTAAAGTGCGAAAAATTAAAAATTAAACGACTGACGCATTATGTTGTGTATTAATATAATGCTCTAGATAATGATAAACTATTATTTAAAATTAATTTCTCAATTAACTGACATTGTGTAACAAAAAACTTTACCTTAGTCACGACTAGCGACATCTGGTGAGTGGAAAATTATTAGCCCTCATTAGCGTATTCATTTTTTAATAAATGTAGTAATACGAGTATACGTATTATGAAAAGTATGGCGTAATAGTAGTGACAAAAACGTTTAAAACTTATTTACATGTCTATTTTTTATTAAATTATAAAGTTTTTGCTTTATATTATAAAAACAAAATATTTATTTTAAAGTATTTTATATGAAGCTGGAATATAATTCTTTATTAGTTTTCCGAATTTTCAGTTTCGGTTTTTTACAATATAACAGCGGCCAAATTTGTTTAAAATAGAATTGCTATTGTATATTTTCTAGGCGTTTTGTAGAGTAGATATAAAGCGCCTAGAAAATACACAATATACATTAATAGCGGTTTTGTGTTACATTTATTTAAGAATTAATAAAAATGTTTATAAACTTATTCAATTACATTTTAACTATTTCATTAAGGAACTTAACTATGTTTCCTGATGCTGATGCTGATGGGTAAAGTCAGAGATCTCTTAAAAGCGTAAAGCCTATGTCCCTTGAGAAATACTGAGGTAGCTATCAGCGGATTAAGGCTTAAGGCTCACGAGGACCGGCTATAGGGCGGCGATATTTTAGGGAGCGGAAAATTTTGTAAAGGCAAGCCGCCTTTACTAAATTTAAATATTTTTTTTATAGAATAGGGGTGACTTTGTGGCATTCCTTGGGGGAGGCCTATGTTCAGCAGTGGACTTATGAAAGGCTGTAATAATGATGATGATGATGATAGAAAATGTGCTCTAGGGCACCAATACTCTGTGTGGTAGAATCTTACCAGTTTGCTGTGTAGAGCGACCGCCTCTAAATACTGCAAAGGCCATGATAAAAATAGAGAGGTGGATTGATGTAGGTGGCATAGGCTTTGTGGTTATTTATGAAGTTGGTAGAATTAGGCTCATTGACGTATTTTGTGGCATTTTATTTGATAAATTCAGTACTTGATTTGTGATGAGCTGTATTTTTTTTTCTTTTTGTAAAATGTTACCTCCACACTAGATTTTCTCCGGTATCTTGGAGCAGTTTACATACATAAATTTCACAAGGATAAACATCCAGGCCTTGAACAATAATTTGTAGGCCAAACACAAATAGTTTCGTGGGGGATTCCAACCCGCGGTATATAGCGCTGCAACTCATTGCTAAGCCACTGCGCCGTTAATGATGATGATATTGATGAAGATGAGGATGAACCTTTGCAAAAGGTATAAATATACTCGTATTATGTGAATAGATTTAATGAGATGCGCTGTATCGAACACTAACTTTGTAAGTTTTTAAATAAAACTACTGAAGAGGGAGTCTCTTTGGATTTTTTGGATTTGTTGGAGGCATGGATGCCAAAACATAAAAAATAAAACCTGTAATTTGTGGCTTTTGGACAAAGGGAACAACATCTAATTCAGGGCACAAGACGATAAATGAACCACGAAGTAGAAAACTTTGGAGAAAACGACCATAGTTGGCAGTAGATTATAAGGATAAAGTTTGTGTTGGTTACTTTGTCTTCTAAACAATTATTTGCAGACGTTCTTTTCTTTTAAAAAAAAATATTTAAAGACCATTTACTAATGGGTGCTTGAAAATGTTTCTACAAATATTAAAGATTTACAAATGTAAAGCATAAAATTGTTCGTGTATTATTTTTTTATTGTATTGACAAATATTTTTCTAGCATTTAGGCGTTTGTGAAGTGTGAATTATATGTATGACTTACTTGTTACCGAGCTTTTACTATAATTTTTAATCGAATTTTTTAACAATGTTAAGTATTGATTGTTGATTGTTTAATAGATCGACTATCTGATAGAAATTTATAATTTTGTAATGGACTAGTATTTTTGTTTTATTTTGTGTGAATAGTTATAGTATTTTTATATAATTTTGTACTAATTGATTTTAATTTTTTTGCCTTAAGTTTCGATAAATAAAATTTTACTGTTTCACGATACTTATGTGGTGTGTAATTAATCGTGCCCTACATTATAATACTCCCAGAAATGAGGGGCCTATGTCTAGCGGTGTGTTGTAAGTAATCAATCAATAAATTAATATTTATTTCTTTGAATACCTAATTAATTGCATAGATATTGTTTCTTAATTCTATTATTCGTTAATTTTGACTTATTCTGACCGTTTAGACAAGAAAATATTAAAATTTAAATATAACTTTATATTTTTATTTATTTCAAATTCAACATACTCGTACATATAGTCATATGGAGATATACTCGTATATTCACAATTTTTTTACGTAATACTCAGACCATTTGAAGTGGCGCAGGGTGGTTTATCAATTTACTATTAGGAAGTTGTATTTGAAAATTAAATTCAGTATAACTCCATGTTTCAAGACCTTAAAAGTTGAATTATATATAGTCTATTGAATTTCGGTGTAGGGATCAAGATGTGAACTTTTTTGTTTTACGTATCTCACGAAAGAACCATTTCCAAACCAATTTTATTCCATACTATTTAATAAAGTATATCATATATACATTTAGTACATATATACTTTATTAAAAGAGCTTATTGTTTATTATTATATATTGCATGAGCAATAGAGTTTACAAATATTGACCAAATAGGAAATCGAAAGTGATCGAAAACCGAATCGTGTCCTATTTTTACTACCACCCATACTACATACATACTACACAATAATACACAATAATACATCACACATCGAGGATATTTTTATTTTATTAATTTGCTTTTTTCTGTTACTAAGAGGAAAACATGTACAGTTACACAAGCAGTTTGTGATTTAATGGTCACAATGACCCGGTGACATGTCAGGCATCTGAATGATAACATTGGTATTAGACGACCCCGGGGATTGAGATGGGCCTCGCGATTGGATCTAGGTTCCCGCCGCATTAAGAAGCATTTAAGACCGAGAGTGTTATTTCAGTAACGTCTTATTTGGTAAGACCGCAACTATTATTCATATTAGATTTTAAGATTATCGTGTAAGAGAATGGAAAGGTCTTATAATTGATTAGTTTTAAGATAATTAATCCATTTCTAGAGATGTGTTAAAAATTAAAATCTTTTTTATAATTAGTGAACGATAAAAATAAAACAAGTACAGTTCAAATAAACCATTGTTTTTATTCTTTCCACATAAATACTTAAAATGGATTGATCCATTAATAGCAAACAAGCTAAACGTTTATCTAAGTACCTAACAATGCTCTGAAATAAGTGACTAAACTCTTCTTGAAAGTCGGTCAAATTATTAACTAAAATAACGAATACCGACAATATAGAGACAAGCCAGAAGTTTATTATGTATATAAGATATTATTATTTATTTATTTACTTATATAGCTAGTATACACTTCACAAAAAAAACATTTTGAGTACTCGTAAATGTTTTTTCATATGTAGTTATTTCGAAATGGTATTGAAATTACATATTTTAATGATATATTAACATAATAACTATGTGGATATTATATTGATATAAATAAAATTGCATTTGATATGATTTAATAACTTGAAATATTACTATTTACTTTCGAAAATTGTATTAACTTTAGCGACAGTGGTCTTTATTCAAAAGTACATCGTTAAAGTCAGACAGGTGAAAAGACAAGTGGAGACGATCGACGTAGAACCTTGATATTTAATAGGTGAATTTATATAATATTCATTGTCCTATAACTTGCCTCACTTTAGCGTAGTTAATCGTGCCGTTTTTGTTTTGAATAAGGTAACAATATTGGTTTGCAGGTTTGGAATTAATGATATAATTGAATTTTGGGTTTGAAATTGTTAACAAAATGCAAATAGTTCTTGTCTCTTATTTCGAAACCTGTTAGCTGTAAATTGCAATACATAATTCAAAATTATAACATAACATATAAACCTTGAGCTTGTCCCATTAACAACCTTTCGCTTTTAACCTTATTAGAACACATTTTTACACAACACAAATATATATATTTATAGGTACAAATTTACATTCGTAAGTCACTGGTCCATAGCTCAATAGTAATATTACGTTAATTAATAAAAGCTGTGATACAAACTTACAATACATTAATCACCTATCAACAAATTCGTTGAAATATAACTATATAAAATATCTATCCGCTATTGTAGATAATATTATATTGTCCGATTTAAAGCGTAGAACCGTAATACTTTTTAAAAATATTCTCCATCGAGTAATGTTTACTAATATTTAATTAAGAAATTATGAAGGAAGACCTCTTTTAAGGTACAACATTACAATAAGAATTACATTCATATACAAATTAGCACCTTGTAAATTAATAATTTTTTCGTTTCAAATTCGCTTTATTAATTCCTATTAGTTAGGTTATGTTGTGATTGTTTAATTGTATAAGACCAATATTATACGCCCTATTATTAAAATCAGATATACATTACAAAATTATTATTCTGTTTTTAAAATTGTATATTATATAATACACTATTTTGGCAATTAAGGAGATTACCACAGGTAAAAACTTTTACTTAAATTTACGTTCAAATTATTGAAATATTAAATTTATATTTGTGAAAATAAAAACGCAGCAGTGTTGTAACAAGCGTTTAGATTTTTAAATCCACACTGTAAAAATTATTATGCAGGTAATTTTAAATTGTAGGCAGTTTTTACATATATAAAAACTTAATGTGACTAAATAAGAATCGCTTATCATATTATTGTATTCGGTATTATTATACTGAGCTTTCTTCAGGTGTGGTGTAAATAAATGCTATGTATAGAATGACAAAATTATACATCAATTTACTTAGAATAATATGTATATTATATACAGATTGTATGTATATTTGTGACCCTGTATATAATTGTAGACAATAGTAGCCTCAGAAATATTAAGTTTTATACAGTAAGGCTCTTATTTACAATTTAACTCTAGACAGCTTTAAAATATATTCTTACTTCTAGCAGGGTCGTTTAGCACCGAAATTTTTTAATTTATTACGAAGAAAGAGCACGGACGATGAATAAAGTTTTTGTACGTTTTATTATTTTGTATCTGTGCTTAATAGTGTGACATTATTATTATGACTTATTTTTTGTGTAATTTCTCAAAATATTTTTGCACATGTATTAATTTATTATTCATGATTCAAAACATACAAAGACTTTTAAATGTAAAAATTAAAATGAAACATTTTGGACGGCAACACGTAACATATCATATATGTATTTACATTACAATATCAAGTCATTATTCTAAAACGTCTTATGTTGATAACTAAATGCAAAATCTAAAAAACAAACAGGAAGACTTAAAACTGGACTCTATGACTAAACAGTAAAGATACAATAAGTAGGCGTTATTATAAAAATTATCCTTAACGAGTTGTTGACGAAATCGGTGACTTTAAATATTTTTGTTTTGTCAAAGTAAAATTAAAATAAAATTCCTAATAAAAAACTTGTAATATAAGCGCATTGTGTGGTTTTATTAAACATAGTATATTTAAAACTGTAATTCATTGTAGCGCTATAATTAGGTAATACAGAGAGTATGAGTTACAAGCTTTAGGATATATTTGTTTTATTGAAGCAAAAAATGTAGGACCTCATAGTCTCTGTATTAAAAATTTACAGCAAATAATTAAGATGTTATATCAACACGCTTAACCATCTTCAATAGGAATAATAAAAAAAATATAAGCGTTTGTTACCTTAATAAACCAATATAGTAAGGTGTACAAAATGAGCGACTTTGTAAATAAAAGCTGTGAGAAGTAGACGTGTGTCGCAACGAATTAAATACAGTAACTACCTCGTAAATGCATCGCCTACATTCCCAAATGATTTACTCATGAACGCTTGTACGCAAGTGGTTTGAAATAGACTATATTACGATATCTTGTATTTTCTAACTGGGACTTGTTGAGTTGCTCCTTGGCTCCGGCTTGAGAGCGGCGCCGTTCAGTCGCGGTGTGGTGTTGGGAGTGGTGGCCGGGGTCACGGTGGTGGTTGTGGCCTGGCAACTTGCACATGGCTCTAATCGCCGCGCCACCACCGCACGCAGCTTCAACGCCGGTCCCAGCTTCATTTGCAACATCCCTGTTAAGTGCTCTTCTGTTAGAAGTGGCAGGCCGGAACCGTCGATTCTCTGCTCACGGAAATTCTGGAAAAAAGGATAATACATAAGTACAGTAAACCGCAATTCAAAACCTACGTAAATTGAGACTGATTTTCTTTGCTATTTAGAATGAAAAAGATAACGTTTACGTAAAATAGTTTAAAGCATAGGTAAAAAGTAGTAATAAAGCTATAATAAAGGGCTACACAAGGAACCCGAGTTCGATTAATCATAATTTTGAGTGCTGTTATAACATAATCTAAGTCGAAGGAAAACATTCTCAGAAAACTTATACGTTTGAAAACGAAAAATATTTCGAAGACATTAAGTCAGTACGCATTGGAGTATCGTGGTATACTTCAAAACCCCTCTCAGAATCGATATTAAGCCGCTGCCCAGCCGAGTGCTAGGCTGTTATGTATTTTGCTTCTGCACGACACAAAAAAGATAAATTTAAATACTTATTCAATACCCATACCACTTAGTATTTTTTTTTCAAAAATTAATATAATTCTATGAAATTTCCGAACGATTTCGTGAATCTATTCTATTGCCTTAGACACGAATATTGACAAGTGCGAGTATAATAATTTTACTTTTACGTGAATAATTTTATACGATACTGGTGAGGCCCTATTAACATTAGTATCGCATGAGAAGCTGTACGAAGTTTTAAGGTTTATTACTGGCCGGCTTTGCGTCCACTGCATTGCACCTGTCGCGGTGTCATGCAGAGCATTACACACGCGACATAACTTGATACCTACATTTATTTTTATTATTTCTTAAATCCTATCAACTTATCATAATTTACGTTCAGGTTCAGGAGTTTAGTATTTTTAGTTTTATTAGACAATATGTTTTTTTAAACGATTTAATTATTCTTTTTTATTAAATAAGGTTTAGGATAAGTCCCATATAAATTTGGAGAAAATATACCTCTAAAAGTATATAATATAATAAACTACATCGCGATGGTACTTTCTTGTTGATATCGCGTTCTATTAATAATTTTGCGGTAAGGCTGCTTTCGGGACGACTATTTTAAAACCGCGTACTGAACGCTTTTTTTATCTTAAAAATTGTTTCGCGACAATACATTCGCAAATATAAACTTCTTCTATGCAACTAGTTGTGAATCTACCATCGAGGTTTTCTTTATTTTCTACCACCGACTTCAAAAAGAAGATTGCACTCAATTCGACTGTATGTTTTTATGTGTTTTACCTCATAACTTTTTTCCGGGGAACCGATTTCGATGATTATTAATCGATATTTCTTTTGTGGTTGTGTATGTGGTTCCATATAAATTTGATTAAGTTCTGACCAATAGTTTTTGAGTTATTCTTAATAATTTATTTTGAAGTCGATTATATTTATAAATTTTTATTTTAAATTATGTATATTTTATATGTTAAATAAGTATGTATACACTATACATATACGGCCTCCCTCATAAAAATCAACGTCAATTTAAGAAATGCTTAAAGTTGCTCTCTCTCTCTCTCTCTCCTTTAATTGAACAAAGAAATAAACAAGTATCTGTAGTGATAATCAATACTTAATTTAAGCAAGCGATAACCGATATTTTTTACAGTATTTATATTATATGATATGTAATGTATTTCGAATATATAATTGTATAGGTAATATATATTCTTCGTTCATTTTCATATAGTAATTACTATAGTAGTTACTTGTAGGTTGATTGGTAGAGAACGCTTTGAAATGTTAAATGCGCCTTTGTACATTTTTATGCAACAAAGTTTAAGTAAATAAATATATATATATATATATATATATATATATATATATATATATATATATATATATATATAAGTAAGGGCCGTAATATTAACAGTATAATATAAGTGTCGCTATAAATGTAGGTAGTATAAATGACATATTTAAGAGATTAAGACCAAAGAAAATCGCAAGTATCAAGACTGTTGTGTTTAAATGATGGCAGGTCGCGGCCGCAGCGTCCAGCGACCTGTCATCTCGGCGGGAACGTTGACAAAAAGCGAGCCGCCTACGTGACGTCCTGCGCCTCTTTCCCCCCCGATCTGAGCACCGAGCCATGGACCTCCCCCCTCGCTTCTTCACGCTCGACCACTTTTTACTGCGCGACATTTGCCCGGAGTTCGATCCGTGTCATCCGACGTATTCCTTTTTTAAATTGCGCCGGCACTCGATTATTTTATTTTTTAATTTTATATAGCATCGAGAAATAACCGGGCGGCCGTCAAGCGGTAAAAAGCGGTAGCGTATAAAAAGTCTATGAATAATTAAAGTGAGATAGCTGGTAGCTAGCTCATGGGAACGGAATTATTTAGCGGCGACAGGTCGCTGCGCCCGCGGTTGCTTTTCTGAAGGACAGGTCAATTTGCCGGAGTCATTTTGCTTCTATCTCGATGCCCATTATTGCTCTGATGCTCATCGTATCCAGTGAAATTTATTTTTATGCAAATCGACTGAGGCTAAGCGATGCATAGGTATCTCGAGTCGCTTGGAGGTAAATCGGATTTAAATAAAGTGAAACAGAGGATTGGCCTGACCTGTGTAACCTTCGGACGGCGTGGTTTGAGGGCATATTTATGTTTAATGGGGGTTACGGAGATGTGGAATCGTTTCGGGATTCTTTAATGCCAATGCCCTGGAGTCAGAACTGACCTGCGGTTCGTTCAAATGAAATGATATTGTAGAAAATTGTTTAATTGGTTAACAAATTATATATATCAGGCTTAGGCCTTTGGTTAAGGAATTTGGATAATTTTTTGTTGATAAACATTTAGGGTGCAAAGTAGGTAATAGTAAAATTAGAGCCGATAAGCTTCATTATTAATTATAAAACTTATATTTACATACATATCTAATCTTTTTTTTTAATGACCCCCACACTTGGATTTTCGCCTGTATCGTGGAGGCAGTTTACATACATAAATTGCACAACAACAAACATCCATTATCTAGAGTATATATATATATATATATTCTATTATCTAGAGTAGAACAAGCAAAGGATTACTAATTACTCGTATTTCCTAAGTCAATTAAATTCACGTAACTTCAGTTTATAGTAGTTTTTTTTTAAAGAATGACCTTTCATAAGGCAGATGCTGCATTATACTTTTAATGTTAATAAGGTTAATTTAAGAAAAGCCATTAAATATAATGAATAAACTCCTTATAAATACACCTTATAAACGCGGGCCTGCTTTTAACCCGCAAGATAGGTCCCCGAGCGATAAGTTTAAATACGTCCGAGAGCACATTGCGTTTTACGTAGGCCATATACTCGTAGTTAACAGGTTACAGATACGGCGTATCGCCTGTGGCCATGAACCGATGTTTAAATTGCGTCAGTGTTGCCACAGCAGCCGTATCCCGTGAACAGGTTGTGTGGGGGGAGCAAAAAAGGTTAAAGTATGTTCCTCTGGGATCTGGTGAGGGGGCTGGTGAAGCGGTGAGGGCGGTGGGGGCTAATGACAGGGGCGGCGCGGCGCCCGCGGCGGCTACCGCGCGCAAATTGATGCCTGCGCCCTCTGTGGAACCTTTGCTCCCGGCTAGTGATGCGCCATTCGATAAATTATAACAGGGAGCATGCTGCTCGCAGAGTTATGGTGCCCGGTTTATCGATGCTATGTGATTAGTACCGTAACGTGCTCGATAATTTTATGTTAGTGGATATAATTTGTTAAGCTGTTAAATTACTAGTAGTGAATATATTGAAGACTTCCTTTTAACAAAATAATTTTATCTTAAAAGAAGTCAATTAAATTATTGTGAACCTTAACATTAAAACATAAATATAATTATTAGAAAACTGCTTAATGAGTTTATGCATGTTTTTTATTTATTTCTTAGGATCGACTTATATAAGCAGTCATCGATATCGATCACAATGATAACTTCACTAGCAGTGGCCGGCATTACTTTATAAAGATTGCTATTAAGTAAAGCGTGGACGCACTGACTTACATTTAGAGCTGACGGTACACGGCTGTAGAGTCATCCCGTAATTATATCCAGACGTTCGCCATTTCACCGTTGCTTTTATTTCTGTACATACGTATACATTCAGTTGAGTTGCAACTTTGAATTAGTTTGAAAACGTAATATAATAATACTTGAAATATTAGTATTAAGTACATTGTAGCACATTTATTTGAAAACATTTTTTTAAATGTAAAAACTTTACGGATTTTATTGCGTTTAACTTTAACTTTTTACTCCCAACGTTTGGGTGCTTCACAGTACCCATGGTCACAGGGGATTGGAGGGGACTGTGGTGTTTGACGTCTCGATGTCATAGTTAGCCCGGCTATCTTCAGCTTTTGAATATTATTTTTTGGTCGAGTCTAGTGAAATTAACAAAAACACAGGCACTCACGCATGTTTTTTTTTAAATTAAATGATTGATTTTTAAGAAAAAATTGCTACTGTAAGGTTTGTTAGATTTTTTTTTAAATAATATAATGTTATTATGTAATCTTCATTGAAATTCCATATTAGGTACATAAACATATTTTCACATAATATAATAAATTCATGCGGACAGAGTTGCGGGCCACTATTAGTAAAAAGTAACAGGTAAGAGGTCACGGTACGTGCTCTACTGTTCTTTTTATCAATTATCTTTATGAGCACTTTCTACCTGTTACGTTGCAATTCATTTTATATTTTTCGCTTGGTAAGTTCTCACCTACATAAGTTAATTGCTTGGTCCAAATAACCTCCGTTGAGTATATTAAAGAAATAGTCAAGTCATTCTCATCGGAAAATGTAGAAAAGTGATATTTATATTATTTCAATTGCCATAAGAACTTCTATACTGAGACCGCGGTAGATCAGAGCGTAACCTAGGTATTCTGCGCGAGCGTCCAGAGTTGAAACGACTCATTCCCGATCCAACTATAGACTACCAAGTTACTTATCATTTTACTATTCTTTTGTTTATAGGATAGGGTGACAAACGAGCACACAGTCCACCTGATGGTAAGTGGTTGCTGTGACCCATAAACGTCTACATTTATCCTCAATAA